GATACCAAGGGCTCAAGTAGAAAGCAAATGTTTTGAGAATGATGATGGCAACAAATGTACAAATGTGCTTGACACAATGGATGGATGGATTGTGCTAAGAGTTGTACGAGCCCCCAAGCAAATGATTTTTTAAAAACGAAGAAGAATGAGCTTGATATAAATGAGCATTTAAGCATCGGTGCTACCCAGGAGCCCCCAAAAAAGCCTGGAAAGAAGTGGGTGGCTTTGGGCATATTGGGAGATGAACAGTATTGATCCCAAAGTGACGGGCGTAGTGGCTCGCCTGCCCCTTTCTCTCCCTCTGTGACCGTATACCCTGTGCCCAGTGCACATGGCTTTCAAACGGAAGACCCGGCCTGCAGGGCGAGAGGCCTGCGTGTCCTGATGGGGGCTGTGGGGTGGACTCCATCTGTAAGGAGGCGGAGGATGCCCGCCTCAGAAGGAGGTTCTTGGGGGCATTAGTATTTGTGTTGCTGGGGGCCATCGGGTTGGTTCTGACCCATAGAGACCTTATGCCCCACAGAACCAAACACGGCCCAGTCCTGCGCCCCCCTCACAGTTCTGACGTTTGAGCCCATCGTTGCAGCCCCTGCATCAAGCCATCTCCTCAAGGACCTCCTCGTTTTCACCACCCTTCTACTGGTTTTGGTTTGTTTTAGTCACGGGTGAATTTTTTTTAATGCTGTTGAGATCAAGTTGCTGGGTTCTTCTGTTCATTTGTTTTCAATCATTTTATTGGGGCACTTACAACAATCCATACAGCCATGGTATCAGGCACACTTAAATATATGCTGCCATCAAGCATGATGGCCTTCTCCAGAGACTGGCCTCTCCTGACATGGCCAAAGCCGTGAGACAGAGCCTGACCACCCCTGCGTCTAAGGAGCGTTCTGATGGACATACTTCTTCCGAGATAGCTTGTTTGTTCTCCTGTGTCCGTTCTGATTTCCACTTTCTTCCCCGGCACCACGGGTCAGATGGCCCGAGGCTTCTTCTGTCTCCCTTATTCAGTGTCCAACTGTCACGAGCATAGGGGTGCCTGAAACACCATGGTTCGGGCCCGACACACCCCAGTCCTCAAAGTGATCGTCTCCCCTGGCAGCACTAGAAAGGGGTCCTGTGCAGCAGGTGTGCCCAAGGCCATGCGTCCGTTGTTGTCCTGTCCTATGGACTGTCCCCTCCGCTGACTGCTCCCTGTCCTCTTCCACAGCTGCCCATGATGGGCGGGGCCTTCATGGACTCGCCGAACGAGGACTTCAGCACCGAGTACTCCCTCTTCAACTCCTCTAGCAACGTCCACGCAGCCGCCGGCGGCCAGCCCGAGGAGCCCTCCCGGTCCTCCCGCGACGCCATTCTGCTCTGGATTGCCATCATCGCCACGCTGGGGAACATCGTGGTGGTGGGGGTGGTATATGCCTTCACCTTCTGAGGGACGGCCCCCCAGCCTTGTTCCCGAGTCCCCCTGACCCCCCGACCCCCCGTCTCCCCAAGTCCCCCCGACCCCCAGACACAAGGCCTCTGTGGGTGAGATGTCCCACGTCCGGAATGCCCCCAGTGGTCCTGGTTTCAGTCAGCCCCTCCTGGCCAGGCTCAAGCTGGCGTCCAGATCCCCGGCTCTCCTTGGGACCAGGACCCCAAGACCAGCCTGGGGAGTCCTGGAATGAGACCTGATGGGGCAGCTGGTTAGTTTTGAAAAGGACCTGTGTTTAGCCATCACCTGGCTCCTGTGTCTGCAAACTTCTCAGACCTGGGGGCCAGCTGGCCGACGGGACTGGCCCTCAGAAATGCATTCCCAACCCAATCCCCGTTTCCCACTCACCCCTTGAAACAGTGGTGCCATAGAACGTTCTAGATTGGCCTGGAAAGGGTGCCTTCATCACTGTGGACACCCCCGGAGGCCGGGAGACTGAAGGAAGGCGCCCTGCTGTGTGTGGCATGGGGGGCAGGGGCTGTGGGGGCGGGCGCTGGGGTGGACCTTTCCTTCCCCTTTTCAGGATTGAGCTGCAGCCTTCCTTAGGAAGATGTTCCCCCTCTCCCGGGAAGTTGCCATGAATCCAATATCCCTGCCTGTGTGGTGGTGAGACTGAGGGGGCAGCTTGCCCGCGCCCTCGGGCAGGGTATTGGGGGAGTGGGAGCAGAAGGGTGCTTCCTCACTCTCGTCTCAGGGCACGCTGTGCCCTAACCAAGCCCCCCATTGATCAGAGCACCCCCAGAGCCTCCTGGAGTTGGAACCAGGAGCATCAGGTGGCTTAGACCCTCCATGTCCATTTCTGGTGTGGACACCTCGCGCGTCTACTGGTGAAAGCCCACTTGTGCTTGAGTCTGTGTCCGCCTGAGTCAGGATCCCCGACTCAGAGCGATCCTGTACAGAGCAAACTAGAACAGCCCCCACAGAGTTTTCAAAGTTGCGCCCCTTTCCAGAGACGGGCGACCGAGGCTCGTCTCCCCTAGAAGCCGCTGGTGGGTTTGACCCTTTCAGGTAACAGTTGAAACTGTTCAACGCCTGTGCCCCTGAAAAGCCAATGGCTTGGGACCCTGGCCACCAAGGAAAGTGCCCAGGGAAGACCAGAGCCTGCTAGGGTGTGCTGGACAAGCAGGGCGGGGAGAGAGCGGCTTTCTTCCACCTTGGGAAGGCCACCACCCTGTGCTGTCCAGCCCTCCGTGAAGGCCAGAGAGTGGGCAGGCTCAGGAAGGGACTCGCCTGGCAGGGGGCCCAAGTAGCTTTCTCCCAGCCTCCGCCCTGTGCTGTCCAGGGGAAGACAACCGATCCAGTTGCCGCAGAATCAATGCCGGCTCCTGGCGCCATACTCCCCATGCACATAGAACAGGACTGTGGGCCCCACTGTGTTTTCAGAGGCTGTTTTTTTTGGGGGGAGGACACGGCCAGGCCTACCTTTCTTCTGAGGGGCCTCTGGGTGGTTTCGAACCTCCGGTTGATGGCGAGAGCCTTTGGCACCACCCAGGGACTCCAAACAGGAAGTAAGTGGCATAAACCTCCTGTGCCACCCCCGTGCCCCCATGACTTTGTGAAGCGGTCAGTATGCTTTCTTTGTGTTTGGGCACAGTTATATAGAAGGCTGCACGGGTCCCTGTGGTCTCAGGCATGGGCATTCTCGGTGGCAGGTGAAGGGATACCTTGATGACCCCGGGTAGCCCCTCTACACAGGAGGTTGGCACTGAGGGCTGCAGCTTGGATTGGCCACTTGTACCACCAGCCACCATGTGTCCACCGGCAGATGCTTCAGCTCCAAGTGGAGGCCCTGGGTGCAGAGGGCCACTTGGCCTTAGGAAAGGGGCTGAAACTGTGTCGGGGCATCTTCCAGGAAAATGGCGAAGGGGCTCCCGCATTCTGCAGGACCAGCCCCAGGCTGCGTGGTCATTAACCAGTCCTCTCCTGCCTTGGGGAGCCCTGGTGGTGGAGTAGTGGTCACTTGTTAGGCAGCTAACCAAAAGGTCAGCGGTTTGAAACCACCAGCCGCTCCGCAGGAGAAAGCCGAGGCTCCCTGCTCCAACACAGAGTGACTGTCTCAGAAGCCCACAGGCAGCTCTGCCCTGTCCTTCAAGGTCGCTAGGAGTCGGCATCCACTCAGTGGCAGTCAGTCTGGTTTGGCTTTCATCCCTTGGGTCCCTCGGGTCCTGGGTCTGCCTGGTTCTCCAGAAAGCCCCCCAGCCCCTGTGTCAGCCCCAGCCTTTGTCTGAGGAGTGTCTTCTTGGATCACCCTGTCCCAGTGACTTCTGACTGACCCAGCCTGAGGTACCTCCATTCCTGGGGAGAGGAGACAGCCACCCCTGCTTTGTAACCAGGGGAACGTTCAGAGGCAGGGAGTGGGTGGGAGGGGGAGAAAGGGCAGCTCTGTCTCTAAATAGGCTCCAGCACCCTGGGCAGGGCAGCCCTGTGGAAGGGGAGTGGGGGCCTCACACCAGCCCCACTGGCCCCAGGAAGGTTGGCTTTGCTTTGTCACCAATATGAGTGTCCCTGAAACCTAGCCTTCAGGTGCTCCATCTCCAGGGCCAGGGCCCTTGAGGGTGGGACATTCAAAGCCACCTTCCCAAAGGTGCCATCCCCGATGACTGTGACTTGGTCACCCATTGCCATCTCTCAGCCGTGGAGCTAGAAAGTGGATCTTAGCCAGGGGCCAGGCGGTAAGTCCCACCCATCTGAGGCACTTGGCCAGAGAGCTGGCCCAGAGAGCTGACCCGAGTGTGGGCTCTAAGCCAAGCTGTTAACACTCACCCCGCCCCCTACCCCACCCCAGTGCACCACTTCCGGTGCTCACCTGTGCACCTCAGGCTGGGACTCAGAGAGGTGGAGCCCCGCCCACGCCACACAAGTGGCTGAGCTGGGACTGGAACTCCGCACCACCTTGCTCTAGAACAAGCTCCTTTCATGCCACCGTGCTGCCCTTGGGCTGAGCAACACCTCCAGGGCCTTGGGCAGCAGGCTCTGGGTCTCCAGAGGCCATTCCATAAGGTGCACATCACCTGGCAGCTGGGGAGAGTGAGGTCCAGCTTCACAAGGGCGTGGCTGGCCTTGGACGAGGGCAGGCGCATCCCCTGTCCAGTACCCCGCTGCCAGGCTTCAGGCCTGGTGTCCTGGGGGTGGTGAGACAACGCCGTTGTAAGGTTGAGCACAAGCCTCCTTGTGAGTCCTCAGAGAGGGGCAAGAGACCACCTTCCCCCAGGCTGAGACGGGGAGCCCAGCGGGGGTCCCACAAGGAGTGAGAGCCCCCTACAGCTGGATCTTCAGAGCCAAGTCCAAGGGCCATCCGCCCCAAAGGCCAAGCCTCTCATGCACCCCCGCATGCTGCAGAGGGCAACGTAGGGGCAAGCTCCTTAGATGAAAACAAGAACACTGCCATTGAGTGGATTCTGACTCACAGCGACCCTATAGGACAGGGTAGAACCCCACCCCCCCAGGGGTTTCCAAGACAGTCACTCTGTGTTGGAGCTGAGAGCCTCATCTTTGTGGACCAGCTGGACCTCCGCAAAGTTAGTAGCCCAAAGTGTAACTCGCTGTGCTGCCTGGTCTCCCCACTCTTTGGAGACAGGCCTGTTTTTGCTGGAATGTTCCTTGAGGGTGGCCCCTGTGTGATCCCTCTATGAAGCTCACACTCACTGCCATCGAGTCGATGCTGACACTGCCACTCTTTACGGGAGTGGAAAGCCTGGTCTTTCTCCTGAGGAGTGGCCGGTGGCTTTGAACCGCTGACCTTATGGTGAGCGGCCCTCTAGACGTGTCCCATAAAAAAGTTGTTTGCTTTTTTTTTTAAGCAGCCAGTTCCATGGAGTTGACGTCAGCAGGCAGTGGTGGAACTGGACTTTATTTCCATCTGTGTGAGGGACACTGAGCACCAGAAAGAACATGCGGTCCACGGCCCTGCGAGGAGGGCTGCAGGTCTCGGGCTGGGCACATGCTCGGAGCACTCTTGCCTCCCGTGGGAGCCTGGCTCAGTGGCCACACAGCCCGCCCTTCCTACTCTGTGTTGCTGCTTTTCAATGACATCCAGGTCAAGAGTCAGTGAAAGCCCCCTTCCCCCCACCCCAGGAGAGACGGCCTCATCTCCAGGGAGACAGGAAGGGAGGCCCACAGGGCTCGGCCCACTTAGCCAGGGCTGCCGCAGGCTGTAAATGGAAGGCTTGGGTGGCAGCCAAATCCATTAACGGATGTCACCATCCCTCCCCGGCGGCTGTGTCTGTCATCTGGGCTGCTGCCGCTGACCGGCTCCCAGACGAATGGTGTTTCCTTCTCTGTGTGTGACCTTCGTTCGCCTCTGTCAGGAAGATGGTTTACAGCTATTATTGATCCATAGCTATTATCCTCAGGAGGAGCCCTGGTAGCGTCCTACATAACACGTTGGGCTGCTAACTGCAAGGTCGGCAGTTCAAATCCACCAGCTGCTCCGAGGGAGAAAGATGAGGCTGTCTACTCCTATAAGGATGTATCGTCTTAGAAACCCACTGGAGAGGGGCTGCAGTGTGTCCGAATGGATTTGATGGCAGAGAGCTTGGTTTGGGGGGTTGATGGATCTTAGAACAGAGTCCTGGTAGCGTTGCTGGGAAGCATGGCCCTGCAAACCACAAGGTCCGCAGTGCAAACCCACCAGCCACTCCTGGGGCGAAAGATGAGATTGTCTGCTTGTGTAAAGAGCTACAGCCTCAGAAACCTGCAGGGGCAGCTCGACAGGCTTACAGTGAGTCCAAATCCCCTGACGGCAGTGCGTCTGGGGCTAGTGTAGGTCCCCTGGTGGTCTAGTGGGGACACGTCTCGTTTCAGAGTCAGCAGTTCAAATCCACCAGCCACTCGAGGGAGAAAGAGGAGGTTTCTGTTCCTTTCAAGAAGCACAGACTTGGAAACCCACAGGGTGGTTCCGCCTTGTCTTTTGGGGTCGTCGTGAGTCAGAATCCACTGGATGGGAGTGAGTTTGTCGATGTGGTTTATTGCTCTTAGGTGAGCCTCCAGCCTCGGGAGCCATCTTTAGGATCACCAGGAGCCGGACTCGATTCGATGGCAGTGGGTTTGGGTCTAGTGTAGGAGTCCTTGGGGTGTGGTGGTTATGCATTGGACTGCCAACTGCAGGGTCAGCAGTTTGAAACCACCAGCCGCTCTGCGGGAGAAGGATAAGGCTTTCCGCTTCCCCTAGGGTCTCGGGAACCAAGAGGGGAATTCTACCCCTTCCTATAGGAATTGACCCCCTCGGCAATGAGCTTGTTTATTT